CTACTACTACTACTACTACTACTACTACTACTACTACTACTACTACTACTTCTACTACTACTACTGCTGCTACTACAATTATAATTACCGAAGAATAAATAAATTGATAATATCAACAAACGAATGAACTCCATGCACCCGTGTCGAAGAAATGCATTGTATGGTAATAAATTTCTCCCCTAACAAAAACCTGCAACTGAAAATTAATTCCAGACACATTCATTCCCGCTCCAACAGGCTTCCAATGAAATTTCTAATTTCCAGAGCATCAACACTTCGAGAAGAAATATGATGGGGACTTTGGAGCGATGTGCGCGTGTGCGTATTCAATCTGATCATCATCATCGTCATCATCGTCATCGTCATCATCATCACCATCATTATCATCAGCATCACATGTCGATTGCTAACAACAGTGCGGTATTTCACTTCGTATTCATAATGCGTTTAACGAAGGAATTTAAATTGTTTCACTTGAAAGAAGGAGGAAAGCAGATGTTGAAAGAATATTCTTTCATCATCTTCAGATCAATTGTAAAAATTATTATTCATCTTTTCAACTACAGAAATAAAGCTAGTTATAGAAATGGAGTTCAAACAATCGAAGTAAAACCAACATGTTGAAACATCTTTTATTTGGAGTGTCAGCTATCATCAAGACATTGATTCCATGCTGCAGTACATTCATCTACAAACTTTCAACTCATCAACTCTTTTTGATTAATCAACCTTGAAGCCAGCGCACAAGTTTGAAATTATTCTTATTTGAGTTTTACATTAGATCTATAAATTAAACCATAATAAAAATACAGGACATGATATGATCTTGTTTCAAACTACAGGCGAGGCATTTGTCGGATGATTGTTTGTGAACTTGGTCGATGAAAAATTACTTAAATGTCTTATCAGCATTAACTTGATACGCACCTTTCTTGACATTCTGCTATTATGTGTAATAACTCAATTTTTCATACTTGAAAAGTTGTCCAATAGCACGATAGATGGTCACCTCACAAAATTAAAACTTCCTCAGATGATTTCATCTAATTACACGAATTTATAAGATTAAACTTAAAATAGCAGCCAGCCATCCAGGGAAGAAGAATTGGAAGACTACTAAACACACGCAGAAGTGACTGGTTAGATGCAACAAACTGGCAAAAAAAGTTGAGATCATAAATGTGGAGTTCTTTGGTCTTCAAACAAACAGACGACATGTGGCGAGCAGAAAAGGAAACAAAAAAAACATTTTAATAGTTAGTCGTCAGCGAGGCAATCAACGAACAAACAAACAAGCAAGCCAACAAACAAGCCAACAAACATGCTAACAGACAAACCAACAAACAAAGAAACAAACAGACAGACAAACAAACAAATTGCATACGAACTCATTTTAAAATGTTCTGCATTGTCTCCTAATTGCTGTTTGTTTAACAATTGTTGTTTCTTTATTTTTAGCCCCGTTCGTTTACCTGCGCATTACATCAATGCAGAACGAAGATGGCATATTTCATAATAGAAAACGCTTATTTGAAACTCTATTTTTTTATAAAACATGACTTCACATACACAAAATGTAATAATTCTGGGTTAGAACAGTTAAAACGAAATTTAGACGAAAGATTTAAAACGCTAAAATACGTGAATTAAAGAATAATATGTTTAAAAAGGATCTTATTCAGTTCATCTTAAGAATAAAGGTGAAATATTTGACAGCAAAATGGAATGATAAGTCAATTCCTTCAGGCAGGCATGCAAAAATGAAATGCTAGAAAATTTATAGTATCAAACACTTGTTCAATGTCCACGAGTAGTATGACGGGAGCGGAGATGTATTGAGCGGTGTCCTGAGAAACATGGCACTAACTTCTGCAGTTGTGATCAATATTTTAAAGACCTTTGCAAGCGCTGCAATCGATCCAACAGGTTAATATTTTTTAACGGAAAAGTATAAAATGGGCACAAAAATAGAGTGGTAGAAAAAAAAGTGTCGAAGCTTGCAGTGTCATAAACATGGTAAGCATCAACATGATGTTATTAATAGCAGCCATCCGTAGCAATCAATCATCATTCTGAACGAACCAAACGCATAAAATCAATACAAAGTATTTTACACAGTTGGTTGGTTGGTTGGTAGATTGGTTGGTCGGTTGGTTGGTTGGTTGGTTGGTCGGTTGCTTGGTTTGTTGATTGGTTGGTTGGTTGGTTGGTCGGTCGGTCGGTCGGTCGGTCGGTTGGTTGGTCGGTTGGTTGGTTTAAGATCAAATAAAAATTAACAAAGAAATTAAATCAATCTTTGACAATATTTTTAACACCGGCCATTCGTCAACATAACCAATTAACTCTCAGGGTAGTGAACCGTGTATGAAAATTGATTGATTTTTTTAATCTGATGAATTAAAGAAAATAAATAAATAAAATAAAATTAATAATGAGATTTCAGTTATTCTTTGGTATATAAAATCCCCGTTTATGATCATCCAATTTATCACCAGAAAATTTTCAAATGAATGATTAAATAATATTTTTGTTCGTTATAGAGCCGGGCTCACAAATGTTATATTCGTTCATTTATCAAAATTGTTAAAAATTGAACCAGAGTTTTTTGAAAAAGTTATTTGCATGTTTAATAAATCGTTAGAACATTCTATTTTATATTTTCACATGTTTGTGTGTAATGAACATAAACGTGAGCCAATACAACTAGCAAAATTTAAATTCCAATGACACGATTTTGGCATGATTCAATTTCGGTACAGAAATTTGGCGAGAGAAGTTATTTTTTGACACTGCAACGTAGATGGTGTGCAAGTCCTTACCGTGTGTGCTTCCGACTTTAAAGTCTCTAACTGCTTCTTGTCATCGTCTTAAATTCTATCTTTTTAATCAAGCTTATTTTTGATTAATAATGAATAATCTTTTGTTGTAATTATTTTTATTGATTGTTGTTATTGATTATTGTTATTTACTTTCTGAATTTTTTAAAAATCTTATTCATCCGTTTGTGACTGGATGGTTTGTTGATGGTTTATGTCTTCTGCACTGCCCTGGTTTTGCATGTGTTGGTCTGGTCAGTTGAATCATTTGCGATATTTTGGGTTAGATTTAAACAAATTTTGTGTAAATTATTCTCCGAGAAATGTTTATGAGTAAATTTGACGGCAAATTTTCAATTTTGCTGGTTTCAATCTCAGTAAAGTATGTTACGAGACAATTACCAGACAATTTTATATGGATACAAGATACCTGTTTGTTGATACATGCTTGTTTCTCCACGGTCTTACGTATACTTTGAAGAAAAATTTGTCATATAATGTATGTGTGAAAATTGTAAGTTAAGAAGAAAAAAATTAAAGTTAAATTATATAGAAGTCTGTTGGTGTGAATGTATCTACATGTAAGCGCGTTTGAAAGTTGTAGTGTTGGAGTATATGTTTAGAAATAATTATTTTACTATGTGTGTACGTTCTTATGAACTTTGCTAAGCAGGCATGTATGTTGGCGAGTTGACTTGATCGGTGAGTTAGCTCAGTTGGTAACAGTGCCATGTCTTGGGTTGTCATTACGCGATGGCCTGGTTCGAATACTGCCTCTCCGATACTTCATCTCAAGCAAAAAAAATGTTTTGGTGCGGAGAGTTTTGTGATGGTGATCAAAATGGTGATTGAACTTATGATGCCGTTTTTTATAGTCACTATGATAATAATGGTGGTGCTGACTGTGATGATCATCATCACTGTGATGGCGATTATGATGACGATGACGCTGACGATGATGATGACGATTCTTCAAACATGGATAACCTCTTCAGCCTATGCTATTCTGTAATATATCGCCACAGATAAGACATCTCATATACCAACAATCCGGAAGAATATTTACAATACTGTATAAAATATATAGTCTCTTTCTAACACACACACACACACACACGAGAACAAATTTCTCCTGCTTGTCGCAATTGGCGAACTTTGATTTAATTAACTACTACGCCATCCATCAAAAATGCAAAATAAACGAAGCGAATAATAAAAAAACGCCAGCAGTAATCAAGCGAATCGCATTTATTGGCACAAATTGTTCTCCAGGACAGAAACTGGCCATTCAAGCGTAGTCCATCCATTGTTACAAGACTTCATGTACTTGCACGTATGTGTTACTATTATCTAGTTACCTTATTGATTTTGTGGTTCTATACGTTTACTTGCATGGTTATGTATGTGCTTGTTTTGTGTTTTAATTATTTTTTTTCCAATCACATCATTCAAACTCATTCATTTCAAAATCACATTATTCAAACGTTTGTTAAAATGCCTACAAATAAACAAATGATTTTGGAACAAACTTGTTATAATTTGCTTTCGCTAATAAGTTATTTGCGGTATGTGGCAACAAACTGCATTACAACATTTGTAACCAACCACAAACAACCACCAACAACCACAAATAACGTCAAACAACCATCAACTACTACCAACAACCACCAACAACTACCAACAACGACAAACAACCAACCAACAACAACCACAAACAATCGCAAACGACCAAGAACGATGAACCAACCTTTTTCCATGTTCCTTTTTGTAGGAGCCACTGTATTTCCTTCTCGTACCGATGATGTCCATTATCTCTGGAATGAAACTTGCAAACATCGCCTGTGAAGTTGTTGTTGTTGTTTAAAGTGCAATTGTTAACACCATCTCTTCCATTTATTTGATCGCCAGAAGTTCTAAACAATGTTCGATACATTACAGGAACATCATTCGTTTGGTAATTTTTTTCCTTCAACATTTGAAAATATTTTTATTGTTTATCATACTTAAAAAAACTAAATTATCTTGAAACGAACGTTGACTACAAATTTAAAAAAAATTATTTTAAAAATTTTTTTCAAAATTAAATTTTTTAACTGTCAAAAGCTAATGATTGTATTGAAATATCATGTTGCTGAAGACAAGAGCATTTCAAATCCACACGGTATCTACGAAGCCTTGTTGTCTGATGTGGATGGATTTCAACAGCAGTAACATACATCTCTCAGGAAAGTAAATAAGCAAGATTCGTGCCGGTAATATTAACGTCATTTGAAACATTTCAAATTTCATTGAGTGGACAACATGCAATGAGCGGATGTTGGACATTACCGTTAGCCAAAAATAAATCGCTCAATCCCACAAATTTCTTCCAATGTTTTGCTTTTATGCAAACCTACAAAAAATAGAACAAAATTGAAAAATTTTCCAATTGTTTTCAATAATTTTTAGTTTGCTGAGTTTAATAATGAATGAATGAATTAATTAACTGGAGACTTAATTTCAAAAGATTGCACTGGAAGTGACTGATAAATGATGAAACAGTACTGCAAGACGTGTACGTGCATTTGTAATGAAGGAGGGATTCTTTGGTAGGACAAACAAACTGCCAATGTTAATTCCGTTAACATCTGCCTAAGTATGCTGTCAGATGGATAGGCACATGTCAAATTGTCAAACTTGTTTCTCAGCTGTTTGTTTGTTTGGCTGTTTGTTTGCTTCTTTGTTAGTTTGTTTGTCGATCTGTCTGTCTGTTTGTTTGCTTGTTTTTTAAACATACTTCTTTTCTACTATTTATTTAACCTTTCTCTGAATTAATACATTAATTATTGAACAGCAGCCAGTATTAAAAATTGTACATTCAGAAATAAGCAAGATTTTTAAGATTGCATGCGGAAGGAACCCACACAAATAAAACGTTACGTTTGTTTTTCAGCAGAACATTTGCATAATTATTCCTCAGAGACGGCACGATTCCTGGCAACAACACCCATTCTTCTGTTGCCTCTTTCTTAGCCGGATGCTTCTTTCTACACTTGATTTTGGTTTTGGGTTGAGAATTGCAGGCTTGTTTTCTAATATTATAATTAATTATAACTAATATTATTCTATTAAATATTAATATTTATAATAATATTTCTTGTATTTGTTTTTTAATTTAATTTTTTAATACGAGAGGAGCGTAGCATTAATTATTTTCGAGAATTTTTCAAATTTGAAAATCTTAGTCAAAAAACGTATCAAAATCTGACGAAAATTGTTAAATTTACAAAATTATACATTCCAAACTGATTTAGCGGAATGTTCTCAGACGTAAATCTTTCATTGGTTGCGTGCATCGTATAAAATAAAATTCATCGTTTATAAAATAAACAATATTTTTTGATACCATGTTTGTTTTTGTTTGTTTGTGTGATGTGTGTGTGTGTGTGTGAATGTATGTGTTTTTGTGAGGTTTTAAAACAACGAAAATCCAAAAATAATATTAAAAACTTGTATTTTGTTCAATATTCCGTGATTTTATAAACTTACTTAAATTTAGAAATAATTATTTTCAATTAACGCTAACAATTTTTTTCATAAAAATTCAACTTAGCAAAAGTTGTACGGAAGATTTTTCACAAAAATGAAAAAATTGAGATCGTGGTGTGGCAGGCGAACATTTGAGATGATGGTCAAAATCGTTCTTAGATACGTGTCTGTCTTGCGCTTGCTTAACTTGCTGGCATCTGGTAGGCATGTAATGAACTGTATGTAGGCTATCTACCTTCCCTAGTTTTTGTTACTATATTTTATTATAGAGGAGTCTAAGCAATGAATATGGCCTGCAGAGTAATATAAACCAGCTGTTTATCCACCAGACAGTCATAATATGTAACAACAAATTTGTAGTTTTCACGGCAAAAATATTTCATGGTCGGTCAACAGAATTTAAAGAATAAGTTTTAAAATCACCGAACGTATGGTGCATTCACTGAAGAAAACTAAACCGCAGTTGAAATTTGAACCTCTCAAAGTTCAGCAATGTAAAAATATTTTGCTTCGTTTACTAAAAGAGAACGTCACAAAAGCAATATAACGGAAATGACTGGCTGCAGTGCACATGATGGATGATGTACATCGGCGAAAGTCCTATGTTCCCTCTGAACGTGTCTATTGACGCATTCATCGTTCGAAATTGGTAAGCATGTATTGTTTAAAACACGGAAGGTACACTGTGTAGTGTATATAAGATTCGAACGTGAATGACAAATGTATTGACAAGTGTTTTTGGCAAGCTGAAAATTAATAAAAGTCAATTCCTATGTTGACAATTTTTAAGACTCAAAAACTCCAACATATATTATTATTTCTCAAGATAATTTTAAAACGATGACAGAAAAATTCTGACTTAAATGAACAAATTTAAACCATTTGTAAATGTGCTCAAATTTAAAGTCAAATCTCTAAGATAATCTCGCTTGAAACTCTTTAGTTTCATCAATGTTGTTATTAATCCGCGTTAACGAGTCCAAACGTAAATTACATTCATGTGTTCACAGCTGCAAACGTAGGAACTGATCGGGATGAAAAACGTAAAAAAATTTGTAATGGAGCCAGCTGGATGTTTCTGTAAAATTAATCAATTCAAGGAAGCACAATCATTTCTAGAAATCTTTTCTACCTTTTATAGAATCTAAATTTGGTGACAGAAAACCAGAATGATAAAAAAATGAAATGTTAGTTAGTTAAAAAAGAAAGAACTCATCTCACAAGCGCTCCTAATATGAAGAAGACCATGAATATCCTGCCGAATGGAGTGACACAGCTGATGTCTCCGTAGCCAACTGTCGACATAGTGACCAGAGTGAAGTACACGCAGTCCCAATAAGAGAGTTCCTGCCGGTTTTTGAAGTCGTTGAATGGGTCGCCTGAGTTCTCCACCTGTATTCATGTTTGTTCAGTCAATAATTTTTTATATTATACAGAAAAATTGTAAAGTTTTGTAAAAAAAACACATAATTTAGAATAAATTACAATCAATCTCTGTCATTAGTGTAGGTAGCAATATTTCCGTAGAGTTCTTAGGCGCTTTTCAGCATTACAGCTACATTTGTGCACACGTGCGAAATAAACTTCTTTCACTTCAGATTACTGTCAAACTCGATTACCGCAACGTAAGACCGGCCGTCCCACCTTTAAACCATTCTCACTTCAGTGTTAAAGTTTCTAAAGTTAACGATAGAAAAGAGAAACTTAGAAAAAAAACTTCTACGTTCAACAAAGTAGAACTAATAATAAGCAATTGGGCGACAATGGTGAAATAATATTTTCATTCCAATGATGTTTTTTAAGTCTGCTGCAACTGGCATATAAAGTTATATAAAACCAAGGATTGCGTGATTGGAGTCATCATAATCAAGAAATGCGTCATCTTGCTGACATGTGCCTCGAACGAAAACAAGCTGCAGCAACAGACAGG